AGCACTTAATTTTACATCAAAGCAAGTTTCTGACCCCAAGTTACCTGACAACAATCACACTTATCACTCTCTGATGAAGAGGCCCTACATGCATCCCCATGCTCTTCCTCAGGATAAGTCTTAAAGCCTGGATGCAGCTAGGAACAAGTTTGTTTCTTTGGGTTCAGAAAGACACAGCTCCTCATCCATGTCATACTCTGATTCATCTCTCTAAGTGGTGTGACTGACCATTAAAAGAGAAGACTAATAGCACTGGTGTGAGGAATCTTAAACACATTTGCAGGTCTTAGGCAATATTGCAAACTAATGCAAGAAAACAAAGAGGAGAAAATTAGGTATTAGGAAGAGGAGGGGGAAGTGGAGAAGGAGGAGGAGGCAGGGAAGGAAAAGATGGTAAAGAAAAAAGATGAGAAATGAGAGAGATGAGCCAAAGTCAAACATATATGTGTCTAAACCCAGTTTCAATTGTTTCTTTATAACCACACAAAATTAAAAGGCATAGATATTTGCTTTTTCTTAACAGAAAAAATACAATAGGTCATAGGAATTTATAAAACATAATACCTGAGATGTCTCAACCTTAGTATTAATATTTTGGCTCTAATCATCTTTGTTGATTTTTAGGAGCAGGTTTTATTCTGAGCACTGTGGGACACAGCAGGTCTTCATCCTTCTTCACTTCCTCCTAGAAATTAGGACAAATACACGTACATTTCCAGACTTTGTCAAAATCAAGTCATTAAGGGTCAAATGGGAGCTCAATTTCTAATTTTTTGAGAATCATCCATACTGCTTTCCAAAAGGGCTGAACCAGCAGTGAAGGAGGGTCCCTTTCTCTCCACATCCGCACCAACACTGATTGCTTTTGTTCTTTTGGATGTGGGCCAGTCTCTGTGGTGTGAGATGATATCTCATTCTTGTTTTGATCTGCATCTCCCTGATGATTAGCGATGTAGAGCATTTTCTCATGTTCCTTTATGCCATTCAAATTTCTTCTTTGAGAAAGTTTCTGTTCATTTTGTTGCCCCATTTTTGGATGGGGTTGGATTTTTTTTCTTGTAGAGTTCAACCAGTACTTTATATATCCTTGATATCAACCCCTTGCCAGATGTGTATTGGGTGAATATCCTTTCCCATTCAATACCATTCCTGGGAATATATGCCAGAGAGACAAAAAAGTATAGTCCAAGTGACATCTGCACTTGTTTTTTCATTGCAGCATTGTTTGCAATAGCCAGAATCTGGAATAAAAAGCTGAGTGCCCGAGAACAGATGACTGGTTAAAGAAACTTTGGTACATCTACACAATGGAGTACTATGTAGCTGTAAGAAAAGATGAAGTAGTGAAATTTATATACAAGTGGAACTACATGGAAAGGATGCATGCTGACTAGTAGGCTATAGAACGAACATGATTGCCACTCAATGACTCTTTTGCAAACCACAGAACCCAAAAGGAGAGAGAGAACAAAAGGGAATGCCCTGCCACAGAGGCAGGGTGGGATGGGGGATGGGGATAGGGATGGGATGGGGGATCGGGTGGGAGGGATACTGGCATAAGTGGTGGTGGAGAATGGGCACTGGTGGAGGGGTGGGTACTCGATCATTGTATAACTGAAACCCAAGCACAAAAATTTGTAAGTCTACAACTGTACCTCATGGTGTTTCACTAATAAAAATTTTTAAAAAATCAAGTCATTAAGAACCACAATTAAATTATCCTGAAATAATCATTAAAAAACATGACACATCTTGTTTGTTAGAACTGAATTTCTTTTTCTATGAGACATGAGAATTGTTTTTGATCCTCTCTGAAAAAACTCTGATTAATAGGCCTGGTCTCCGGAGTTCTGAAAAGAAAAATAGCATAGTTTATGTCTGAACCCCTGATGCTTGATTACCAAAAACTCTACTTTTTGACTAGAATTTTGTTCTTTAACTTTAACACATGTAGTTGAATTTCTTTGTTTAAATGAATTCAATAGACAGTGACTACTAAGAAGGTCATATTAGAAAGACCATAACTTAGACCAATGTGAAAGTTGGTGAACTAAGCTAAACTATTAGTGCATATTATTACTATACTATTATTATATACAACCTGAAATCTCAACACTACTACAATTCAACCATAAGATCCTTATTACTTAATTTATACTCTCCAATTGAAACTTCGTGAGACAGGAATAATAATATTACTGCCAAAGATTGTTTTAAAAATAAGTTAAATCATGTAAATTCAATAGAAGAATACATAGCTAGAGAAAAGTTACCATTATTCTAAGACTTCAGTGCAGCACTAAAGAGCTAAGTGCATGATAGGAAATAGCTCAGACTTCGCAAGCATTGGGCCTCTAATGCAACAGTTAACTATGCATGGTAATGTAAGAGTGAGCATGACTGCATTTCAGAAAAACTTTCCTTTAAAATAGAATGCAGGGTATATTTGGTCTGCAAGCCGCAGTTTGATGGTCTCTCATTCAAAGGTCTCTTAATTTGATTCAAGAAATATAGTCAAGAGAAGATTAGACAGTGACAGGAGGTTAATCCTTGGGGATGATGAGTTTTCAGTGGCCTTTGATACAGACTATCATGGGATGACCAGAAACAGATTATTACAATAGTCCAAGCATGATTCATGAAGCACCTGTCTCTAAGAAATGAACGTGTGAGCCTTATAGCAGGGAGTGCCTCTGGTTACTACACTATGATTTAGTTCTCTGAAGATATTTTCCTGTTTTTCCACAAGGCCTTAGTTACAGTTATATCTCAGATTCAGTAAATTATAAAATGTAAACCTAGAAAACCTCTGGAGAGCTAATTAGCTAAGGATAAAAATGTTAACGCTTTTATTTATTTATATGGATCCTAAAGTAGGTGAGTAGGTAGAATTTGAGACTTGCACTTAAGTTACTCTCAACTTCAAGAGATGATTTCAATTTTTCATATAGGATAGTAAGACCTTGGATGCTGGCCTCTCAAACAGCTAACCTGAGTTCGATCCCCAGAACCCCATCTAGTCACTTAAGCACTACCAGGAGTGAGCCCTGAGTACAGAGCCTGGAGTAGCCTCTGTTCACTTTTGGGTGTGCTTCCCCCAACTTCCCCCTCCCCCCAAAAATGGAGAAATTCAGGCTCTCATTCAAAAGTGACAAATCTAAGCTTTGTGCAGTCTCCATATTGTAGTCAATGAGATTTATTTGAGACATGATCAATGTTAATTGAAAACTTTTTCCCAAAGAGACAAATCTACAGAAATACATTATATATAATATTATATTCATAATACATTTATACACATATAATATGCATACATAAATACAAAAAGGTACTTTATTTTCTTTATGTATTTTATTATAAAAATTAAAACATCATGGAAAGAATCAAGGAGAAGAAGTGAGTGGGAAGTAATGGGTGAACAAGCATCGGGGCTAAAATTACACCAGTGATATGAGGGGTGTAGCCATATACCCAAAACACAGATTTAAACAACAGTGTAAACATGAGATCTAAGCGTAAATCACTGTAACTTTGTAATGTGCCTGTCAAGTTGATAGGTGGGGGTAGTGGGGACATTTGGATGGGGAGGGAATCTGGGAATACTGGTGTAAGGAAGTTGACACCAGGGGGATTGGTGTTGAATTATTGTATGCCTAAAATTCAATTATCAGTAACTCTATAAATCAAGGCTCTTTAATGAAAAAAATATATACATATTATATATTTACCAGGACTTTTTATTCTCCTTGATACCATTTTGATTAAAAAATAAAAGACAAAGATGTGTACCTGACAAATGATATACAGAATGGGACTTAAAAGGAAGTATAATATTATAGATCCTAAAATAACATTGTTACATTAAATGTAGTTACACTGTCATGTAAATGAGAAAATGCAATCTTAGGTAAGATTGAATGAAATGATGTGATTTTAAAACCTATCTTTTTAACTTGTGGTTATACTAAAGTAGAAATTTCAAAGATCCTATGGACAATATAAAGTGAGAACTACTATGTCCTTATTCTGTTACATGGAATTCTCCATAGTTCTAACCCAACATTTTCCTACTTCCTGCCATACACAAAGGAAACCAGCAGTGCCAACCAAACCATGTTCTGGACCTTTGTACATTCATTCTACTTTCTTATCAAGTATTATTGAGTCCAAATCAAGTATTAAAGTATTACTTTCTCAATTTCTTAATGCATTGCTAAATTGGCAGTTCAATGTTCTTGTGTTAGCTTTATTCCCTCCCATCCTCCTTTCTCTCTCTTTCTCTTTCTTTCTTTCTTTCCTTCTTTCTCTCTTTCTTTTTTTCTTTTTTGGTTTTCTGGGTTGTACTTGGTGGGACTCATGGGTTACTCTTGGCTCTGCATTTAGGAAATAGTCCTGGCAAGGCTCAGAGGGTTATGAGACACTGGGGATTGAACCCAAGTCAGCTGCATGCAAGGCAAATGCCATCCCAGCTATACTATCACCCCAGCCCAGATAGCTTCATTTCTAAGGCAAAGAGAAATTCCTGGTCTATTGAAGATATATTCAATGTTAACAAAAAACTAATACATGAATAATCAAATGTCACTTGATATAATGCTCATTTCTTCCACTTAGTGTAAGATCACACAAACCCAGCAGTGTTACTGCAAGAATTGGATGTAAAAATATGTGTAGGATATGCCTAATACATAACAAGCACTCAGTAATTGAATACTGCTACTAATCCTTATGAATAGGACAGCACACACATCACTCTGTTCTTTTAGTCACATTCATTTTACTGTGTGGCTAATCATTTCCGCTCTTCCCACCCATCCTCTTAAGATTCAAAGGAGCTTAATAAAGTCTAGGAAGTATAATCACTAAACATAGTTAATATAATAAATATAAGTATAAATATAAATACATGTAAATATATAAATAAATATAATAACGTATCTTGATAATGATATCGTTTCATTGTGAATTTTGCCTATGTTTATTTTCTAAGGTCACGTTACCTTTGCTGATGTTTCAAACCATCCTACGAAACCATTCTCCTTGCAGAACTGATCCATCTTGAGGCCATTGTTAATGAGCATATCCTTCCCTTGGTCACATTTGTTGGCCAACAAAACTACAGAAACTGGTTTGCCATTAGGGAGACTTAACTTTGAATCCAAATCATTTTTCCACTTTGTCACTGCTTCAAATGTAGCTGGCCTAGTGACATCAAAAACAATAAATGCACCCATAGCTTCTCGGTAATAGACTCTTGTCATATTTCCAAATCGTTCTTGACCTATTGGCAAAAAAGTAAAAGAAAGCAAAAATGTATTATAATTTAAGACTTAGTTGTCCATTAGAGACTTATAAGGCTTCCAGTATGAGCAGAACACTCAGTAAAACATTTCAGTCTTAATCTGTAAAGAATGAGTTCCATACATAATCCTGAAGCTTTGTTCTTAATCTTTGCACAGAGAGGGAACCTATTTATTTAAAATAAACAAACAGAAATAGGGATATGATTTAGCATTAGAGTGCCTGCTTGCCCAGGAGACGTGATGCCACCAAGTAGATCAATGAGTGAAATTCCAGGCAGGGATACTGCTGCTGTGACCTGAAGCACCACAAAAAGTGTGTTACCCCATAGCATTCCAACAGAGGCCTCCAGAGCTCTAGCCAATGACGCTCAGGGAGTCAAACCCAGTCTCACGCACAGTAGGCTATCTACACTTAAACACTCAAGAACTCAGAAAACTACTTGTTACTAGTAGCATCTTCAACATGTCCAATACAGAATATTTCCATTGTTCTAATAACTTCAGCTACAATCATTCAAATATAAAAGCCCTGTCATAGAATTTATATCTCAGTGAAATAAGATAAACTATACACATAACAATTACTAAATAATGTATTCTGTTAAAAAGACATCCATATTTTCAAGGAAGGCAGTTTAATATCAAGGAATATTTTTGTCTCTTCACTATGAATCAGAACTGTAATTTGAAAAAATGATCATGAAGATACATTATTGTCCTCATTTTAAAGTTAGAAATTAAAATGGGCTAAGTGACAAACTCTAATTATACAGTTGTGAGTAAGAGTTCAAATGTGAGCTGCCGGGGCTGGAGAAATAGCACAGCGGGTAGGGCGTTTGTCCTGCACGCAGCCAACCCGGGTTCGATTCCCAGCATCCCATATGGTCCCCTGAGCACCGCCATGAGTAACTCCTGAGTGCAGAGCCAGAAGTAACCCCTGAGCATCGCCAGGTGTGATCCAAAAAGCAAAAAAAAAAAAAAAACCCACCCAAATGTGAGCTGCCTGAATCCAAATTCCATATCCATTTTCCACCAGTGAACATTCTCAACTACTAAACCACAGTTACATACTCTCTCTTCCAGCTTTATGCACAATCGGGTACACCGCTAGCTTCTGCACACCACACTGAGTCTATGCACACTCCATTCAACTCAACAGGAGAAATATTGATTGGACACCTACTGTATCCATGCCAGGAATACAGCAATGAATGAAATTATCTCTACTGGATAAATAAAGTCCCTGCTCTTAGTAATAACTAACATACAAATAAACATAAGGACTAGCTTTAAAATATATTAGAATCAATTTTATTCTAATCTTAATTTTAAAGGAAATTTTGGCAAGTTTTAGAAACATCTGACATTTAGTTTATTATCTGCAAAATGGCAATAAATGTGAAATAAATAAATCTATGCAAAGCAGCAAGCAACTGTCAACTAGTTGGCACTTGAGTTTTGCTATCCTTTTCTCAGCACATTAAATACTTTGAAAGATAATAGAACAGGTCTCCAGATAGAATTTATGACAGAAAAGTATAAATATTCCATCTAACACAAAATGTAAAACTCCTGTTGTGGAAGGACATGCCTTTCATGTGGGAGACCAGGGTTAATCAGCATCAGCACAGAGTCCCGAAGCACCCCACTGGTGTAATCCAAAAGAAAAAAATCCCATTTCTTCCACTACTCACTCCCGATAATTGCAGATCTCACAGTTCACCAAGATTTGGTTAATATTTTCTGATGCAAAGACCTCAAGGTGTTTAATGAGACAAGAGATTTTTATATGGACTTGGGAATTTATTGGGAGTTTTATAGAGTTATACTGATTAAACCAATGCAGATATATATTTAGTAAGCGAACCAATCTTTAAAGGAACAAAATTCTGAAATGGATACAGAGTCAAGAAAATACTTGTCAATGTACCTCAAAGAGCACACCACAATGAAAACCATGTGGAGGCTAAGGGTCTTTGACAGTGAAATTTAATTCAAACGAAGGAAGGTTTTATGAGGATACCATGTCCAGATATATCACCATTAACACTACAGATTGTAAGAAGTCATGATTCATAAACACATAGAAAAATAAATATGTGAAGGGTGTACATACTTTGTGTGAGCTTGTGTGTTCCATCAAACACTGCAAGAAAGAATGCAAAAATGCAAAATGCTTCCAAGATCAGCGCATGATGACCCTAAAATATTTCTTAGATTGGTTATATCACAGAAGGCTCTTTTAAATCCCCACATCATCCAGTCAATGAAAGAAAGCATAAAATACTTCATATGACATATAACCTACAGATGAACTTTCATTATTTTTGAGTGAATTTCAATTTTGTTTCTTTCTTTCATTTTTGGATACTGCAAACAGTGATCTCCTTTGATATCGCTTAGGGTGACTCTGACATTTCAAGAGAGATCGAAAGAAAGCACTCTGTGATTGCTCCGGGTGCCGCCAGCCTCCGGGCTGCTTAAGGATGTCTTATGATCTCTTCTAATCAGATGAAGGGCAGAGTCATGTGTTCTTCAATAATTTGCTTGTTGAAAGGTTTTCCTAGTAGAGGAACAGAGTCTTAAGAAAGAAGATTCTACTCTCAAAATGTGTGGTAAAAGATTATTTTTTAAGACTGTAAAAAATTCTAATGTAGTGGCTTATACCTTCAGGGGGCTTTAGAAAAGAAAAGTTTATGTGGTGTGTGTGTGTGTGTGTGTGTGTGTGTGTGTGTGTGTGTGTGTGTGTCCCCACGTGAAATTTTGAAAAACTAAAAAAAAATGTTTCTAGAAAGAAAAGAACTATGCGTCTTAGGTCAGTAGGCTAACAGATTTAGAAAGTTTGTATTTTTGGCATTCCAGCAAAAGGTCACGTTGAGACCAGGGCATTGCTAAGACTCACATTTCTCCTTCTCCTTCCATGTCATCTGAAAATATACTCTGGTATATTTTTCTGGTTTTTCCAAAGAAATTAGAACCATATGACTCTTAGTGAGTTCCTACATATGAGAAAAATGGAGGTCTAAGGAATTTATCATAGGTAATTTTCAAAAAAAAATTTTAGACTAAGTTCAAAATTCACTTAACATTGGTGGTGAGTGTGGTATTGCTAAATTTTATGTCTGAAGCTTTATTTTTAGCAGTATTAATATTATGGCACTTGTATTTAAAGAAATGAATTCATCATTGGGATTGTAATACTAAATCTACACATAATTAGCATACACTTAATAACTATTATGTTCTATGCTCTGTGTTGTGAGCTACAGACCAATATTTGGTGCCCCAAAGACACTAAAAACTAAGTATTATAGGGGAAGCATATGCTGAAAATGACTCAGTTTACCAAGTGAACCCACTGATTTTATTCCTTAAACATATAACCTATAATCATACAGAAGTACTTCATGTCTCAGATTCCAGATCAATGATATTAAATGAGAAAGCAATCAATTGAATACCTAAAGTTAACCCAGAACTTCAGGGCCAATCTGGATATTCTTACTGCAAAGGTACTAAACTAAATGGTTAGAAAATGAGGGGATCTAACACTCAAGAACAGTAGAAACAAGGGCCAAGACTAAATCTGACAAATCCCACAATTTGAATCAGGTTTTGGACAAAGATGCTTAGAATACTGAGAACCTCTGAGATCAAATTTTTCAACTCTAAAATGAAATTCTGATACTAGTCTCTAAGGTTCCTTGCTACCCCAACACCTCCTATCACTGTGAAATAACCATTAAATCAACACTTGACCTTTGTACCAATTGCTAGAAATATTCCACTGCAGTCATGAACTCAGACATAAAAGTAACTAGAGGTTTTAAATTTAAAAAAGAAACCTCCAACCCCATCAAAAAATGGGGAGAAGAAATTAACAGAAACTTCCTCAAAGAAGAAATACAAATGACCAAAAGACACACAAAAAAATGCTCTACACAACAAATAATCAGCGAGATGCAAATCAAAATAACAATGAAATATCACCTTATACTACAGAGACTGACATACATCAAAAAGAATAACAACCAGTGCTGGCACAGATGGAGGGAGAAATGGGTTCTCATTCACTGTTAGTGGGAATGCTGACTGGTCCAGCCGTTTTGGAAAAAAAAAGAAATTGAGCTTCCATGTGACTGAGCAACACCACTTCTTGTAATATACCTCCAGATGCAAAAATACACAGCAGAATGACATCTATACTTGTATGTTCATTTGCAGCACTGTTCACAATAGCCAGAATCTGGAAACAACCTGAGTGCTCAAGAACAGACAATTGGTTAAAGAAAGATAGTACATCTACACAGTGAAATACGACAGAGCTATCAGAATAAAAACAAAGTCATGAAATTAGCTTATAAGTGGACATAGAGAGTATCATGCTGAGTGAAATAAGTCAGAAGAAGGACAGACATAGAATGACTGCCCTTATTTATAAGATAGAAAAAAAATATAGTATGAGACTAATACCCAAGAACAGTAGAAACAAGGGCCAGGACATATGGTCCATGATGGGAAGCCCTTCCTCAAAGACTGGGGAGAGGTCAGTAGGGATAGAGAAGGGTCCATTATGACAATGATGTTTGGAAGGAACTTCTCTGGATGGGAGATGACTGCTGAAAGTGGGTAAAGGAACAAACATGATGGCCTCTTAGTATCTGTATTGCAAACCATAATATCCAAAAGAATAGAGAGAGAGAGAGACAAGGAAAGAAACAGAGAGCAGAAAAGTGCCTGTCATAGAGGCAGGCTGTGGGTGTGGGTGGCAGGAGGGATATAGGGAATATTGGTGGTGGAAAATGTACACTGGTGGAAGAATAGGTGTTGGGACATTGTATGACTGAAACCCAACCACAAAAGCTATATCTCATGGTGATTCAATAAAAAATAATAAATTATAATTAGAAAAGCAACTAGAGGAAGCAGGTTCATTTCTGCTCTTCAACTGAAAGTAGTCACTTCACTATTCCAATTT